TTTGAAATGGATACATGACAGTTGCATGCATTGTCTAAGAGCCCTCTTCAGGTGCCTAAGGGGTGTTAGTGGGGGAAAAAGGAGTTCATGTCTTTCCAGACACATTTTCCAGAGAAATCAATTAGCTTAAATTGCAACAAGTGATTTAGGATCCACAAAATGACGACAATTTTAACTGTGAAATGTTAAGAACCAATTCTGAGAGAGATTTCAGAATTTCCTGGGTGGATGTGAGTTGCTGCCTTCACAAGGGCTGACTCCCCATTCCACTTCTGGACTGTGTCCAGATTCTCTTTTGCGTGTCTGTCCCTCCTTCCTGCAGCCCAGAAGAGTTGGGGAGGGAAATACACACAGGATCTTGTTGTAGCTCACAGCAGAAAAGAAAAAAAAATCTGGCAATGAATATATGTATGTTCATGTATAACTGAAAAATTGTGCTCTACTCTGGAATTTGACACAACATTGTAAACTGACTGTAACTCAATAAAAAGTGTTAAAAACAAACAAAAAAAGAGTTGGGGAGGGAAGCTCCCTCTTGCCCTCGTTCGAGGGGTGGGTTTAAATTGCCTCATGTTAATGAACACATCCATCCCCCAGGTGGTCATGGGCGTTAAGACGTCTAATCAGAGCGACAGTGAGGACCCTTGCTCGATTGCTGGGAAATAACTTCTCTTTCTTCAGGAATGGCCATTGTGGTGTTCAGATGGCAAGCCCGGAACTGTGGAAGCATCGCAGGATTCCGAGAGAAGCCAGCCTAAGGGAGGAAGGGGAGGAGAGACCGGAAGAAATTAGGACTCAGATGACACTGCAGCGCTGACCCGTCAAACCAGCAGTAGCCCATCTGATCTCTGGACTTTGCAGGTACATGAGCCCACATCCCCCCTACTGTTCAAGTGCTTTTGTCTTATGGCAACAGAGGATGTCATCAAAGATACGCCGTGGTGACCTACTCTGAAGCTTTACCTCCTTTTCAAGTGTGTCTGTGTTTCTTCTCCAAATGGGCTAGGAACACTCCCAGGAGCAGCAGTCGGAAGTTATATTCGCTCTCCTCCTACACCTAGTGTCCTGCCTTTGTGCAGCGGACCCTCTGGAAACGTTTGCTTCCTGAGGGTCACGGCCAGCTGGCCCCCCTTCAAGTCATGTTGTATCCTACGCATCTCAGGGGGGCACAGGTTGGTTTTTAGCTTATCTTCAAAGCCTCTTCCCATGTTGGGCTCTCAGTGTCATTTTCTTTCAGACGGAAAACAGTTTCAGCAAATGTTTGCTCTCTCTCATTTACCCCTCTGCCACTCACTGTCATCCAGAACCTACACTGTCCGGACAGAAAGAAAAGGTTTTAGGGGAATTCTATTAAAACCATCACAGCAGTCATAGCTCATTTTTAGGATATGCCAAATATCTATAGAAATAAAGCTTGCAACTCCCAGAACTCTTGGAAAATTAATATTTTAATTCAGTTTGGCGCATGGCTTGTCATTGCCACGTTACATATAATAGAAAAGCTGGACTGTTAACTAATTCTCCTCCAAATAGCTCATGATGTTAGCATTTGAAATATATGTATGGTTGTAAAACTCGTGTGTGGCATAGATGTGATTAGCGTAGTTTATCACATACCATGGGCTTCGAAAGTCAGTGCTGAGTGAATGTCAAATCCTTACCCTGTGTGGGTCCTATAATGCCCCACTGTTCCCGGATGTTTGAGTGTCCCTGTCATTATTGCTTCTTCTGACCAGTCTTCTCATAAAGCGGAAGCCGTGGGAAGGCTGCCTCTTCCTCCTTCCGTGAAAGCTCATGGCCAAAAGCTTTTGTAATTAATTTACACACATGTGTAATGATACTTTAGCGACCCGTTTTCATTTCTCTGAAGCTACTTCGGCAAAACGAAAGCTGTCTTCACTGTTTCCCAGTGAAAAAGACAAACGCGACTGAACTCACATTCCATCCTTTCCCACATGGGAGGTTCCTCTGATTCCACGTGGAAGCTTGTAGAACCCAGGACAGGTTACAGAAAACGTCCCGGTTTGTAGGGCTCTTGGTATTGACAGAATTGAAATCCTTTATGTTTCCACAGAATAAATAAAGACCAAGGGCTGACAGAGTGCAGGCTCATTGCCAAGTTTCTGACCTTTTTAAGACTTGCAAAGATGAGAATGTGTTCTCAAACAGCGAGGATTCAAGGCCACAGAGAAAAATGAAACTATCAAATCTGACTGGTTTTTCATCGCAATGACCACAGTCCCTTTCTGCAGTCATCCAACAGTCTTTGGTAAGATTCTGTATTAATTCTGTTCTTCAGCATTTTTCCTAACTCCCCATTCGAAATAACTTGCCTGATTTCCTGGTCACATAGTCCCTCCCCACCATAACAGCTGCGGCCTCTTAACTGTTTTCACCCTTTATTTCTTACACTTAAGGGTGATTGTAATAAAGATTGTCAGTAACAAACTTGGTTCTACTGATACAGGGAAATGTGGGGTGAGAGGATGGCCGAGTTGAGTCCCTGGGGCGCACCCTGCCAAGTGAGGGTCCTTGGCTTTGCGTAGGAAAGAATTCAAGAGCGAGTCATAGGTGAATAAAAGCAGGTTTATTCAGAGAGATGTGCACTCCAGAGACAGAGAGCAGGCCATCTCAAAAGGCAAGAGAAAAGCATGAGATGTGGGGTTGCTGGTTTTTATGCGCTCAGTAACTTCATATGCTAACAAGTGGGAGGATTATCCCAGCCACTTTGGGGAACGGATGGGTATTCCCAGAAATTGGGCCACTTTCTGACCTTTTATGGTCAGCCTGGGAACTGTCCTGGTGCCTGTGGGTGTGTCATTCACCATGTTAAAATATCACAGTGAGCGTATTATGTAGCTCAAGGTCTACTGGGAGTTGAGTCTCCTGCAATCTTGGGCCTCAAGTTCTGTTGGGAGTTGAGTTTTCTGCCACCTTGGTGTTAATTGCTGTGCCATTCCTTGAATGGCTGTGCCCTGCCCTCTTCCTTCCTGTCTCACTACCTTACATGGAAAAAAAAACACATAATCTTTACCGTTTATGAACCACTGTGCATATAATAGCTCAATTCTCCTAATTCCCCTATGAGGTAGATGCAGTTCACAGATGGTGGAGGATGGTGACCTCAGGCTGAGCACCAGCTTCCTGGAGCACCGTCCTGTTACCTCCCCGCCAACCAATCAGAAAAAAGTCTCACACCCTGCAGCCCTCACCCCAAATTTTTCCTATAAAAAACTTTCCCCCAAAACCATTGGAGAATTTTGTTTTTTCAGCACCAGCCACCCATCCTCTTTGCTCGGCCCTGCAATAAACCTTTCCCTGCTCCAAACTCCGATGTTTTGGTTTGTCTGGCTTCATGGTGCGAGGGGCACTGGAACTTTTGTTCAGTAACAATTGGGGGTCAGAGTCGCTGCCATCCCACACTGCCTGCAGGCTTGTCAACTCCTTGTGATCTTTCCTTACATGCTGTCTTGTTCACACAGTCTTTTCTCGAGGTTGCTGAAGGGGAAGCTGGGGAAGAGACCTGGTCATCTGCTAATTACTTATTCGTGGTTCCTACTTCTTTGATCCAGGAAAGAACCAACAGGTTAGGCAAGGTACTGTGTAAGCAAAAGACTTGAAAGATGTGCTTAGGCCAGAGTGGAGCATGGGGTGCCTGGTTTTGAGGTTAGTGGCATGACAAAAGGAGCCTCATGCAGAGAGCTCTTTCCTGACAAAAGTGGCTTATATAAGGCCTGATCAGCAACCTGTCAGGGCTAAAGCTCAGACTTGATTTGTTCTGCCTTCGACCTCAGTTTCCATGACCAGTATCTCAACATCACCTCTTGCTTTCCCAAGCCACGACCCCCGCCCAGTATAGATAATCCTTTGGAACTAATGTCTGGGATGAAACCCCAGGACCTGATGCGGGAGCTGCCTGATCCTCGCTTGCTAAGCACTCTGCTTCCTACCAGCTTGTAGGCTCCACTGATTACTTCTGCCTGTGGTCCTTTTTGTGCCTGACTTGTCCCAGTCTTTACCCAGTTTGTTAGCATCTGTCTTTCCCAGGGCTTGGAAAGGGCTTATGCTGGGAGAGTGTTAACATCTTGTTTGCCTGACTGTAAGCAGACAGGGTAGGGGGTCCCCAGAGAAAGAGAACCAGGCATGGCTTCCTTGACATAAGAGAAGTCATTTTTAGTCTAAGCCATTTTGGGATCAAACCTAGCCACAGTGCTTGTCCTTGTCCCCAGTCATCACTGACCTTAGAGGAACAGAAGAATGAAGGAACAGGTATCAGGTAAGAGAAGTAACAATATTAAAGGTAACAGATCCATTGTCAAGGCTCCCAGTTCTGTTTCAATGGTAAAGACCAGCCTGAAGCACTTTCTTGAGCTATTCTGCAGAATTTAAACCCCCTTTGAGTGCTCAACCACCAGGTCAGCTGGAACCTAAAGGATGAGGATGTTGAACTTTTCTGACCCTCGTGAGTTCAATCAGCTAAAGCTTGAACTCTAGACCCTGGCCCCAATTCTATGCTGAATTCTTCTCTGCTCAAGCCCCTTTGTGAATATGCATGTGCCCTTCGCTTAAACCTTCCCCAAGTTTGCTGTTCAGGAAGACACTGCTTTGGGGAACATTACCAGTATTCTCTTTACTTGCTTCAGGTAATAAATCCTTTCTTCTCCGGCTTTTTGGCTTGGTTGCCTTTTGGCTGGACACCCATCAAGAGGTGAACCACATTTTCCAGTAACATAATGAGTCTGTATTGTTTATGGCCTTTGTCATCCTCGGTTCTGACCTTCTTGCTGTTTCGTTTTGTGATGGGGTCTTTATACCCCTCCACCAACTTTCTTCTCTCCACCTTTCCACTTTTCTTGTGAACCAGAGCATTTTCTGTCTTCTCTCCATTTTGCTTATTTCCCCAACTCGTCATAATATCAACTCATTTGGTTTCTCCTCAAAACATCCTGTTTTCTCTCCGCATATTCTCTTTCCTCATTTTTTTCGGTTTATCTCAATTTTCACATGCTCTTCTCTTATTACTAACTGTCTGGTTTGGAATCACCACTTTTCTAAGACAATGGATCTTTTATGGACTCTCTACGCTAGAAAAACATCCAAGTTTTGGAGTCGTATTTTTCTGATTTGCAACTTTCAGAGCTTCAGTTTCCGTACCTGTGAAATAAGGACATAATACTACCTTACAGAGATATTGGCAGAATCACAGAAGGTCATGTGTCAGAAAGCACTTTGAAGAGTTCATTATACTAAACCAACGTTAGGCATTGATAATACAAAGAGCACTGTGGAGTCTTTACAAGATGGAAAGAGTCAGCGGTTTCTACTCTGCATCATAAAGCAGCTGGAGAATTAGCCACTCTGTTCCTGTTCTGTAATCTTCATGGCAGGTGTTGATAAACAGAGCAGAAAGAACCAAACGCATTGGGGAACCCAAGAGCTTAAAATAGCCGGAGGCGTTAGACACACGTCTCTGGAGTCTCTCAACATTTTTGTCAAATTCTTCAGCGCCCTCTTCAAGTCCCTGCTTTTTTCACTGGACTGAGGATAAAACCATTTCTTAGATGAAGCCAGAGATTGCATACTGGTGGCTTACTGGCTAAATTTGGGTTTCTGATGTACTCTGTTTGACAGAACAGTAGCCGTTTTAAAAAGTTGCATGTGAATGCATTTAGGTAGCCTAGTAGGTTGACTTTTCCCAGAAGCAGTGTCTCAGCCAAGGATTTGGGGACAAGTGAGTTATCAAGGCAGTGCTTCCAAAAGAAACTGATGTAGGGGTCAGGGAGCAGAATGAGGCGGCGGAAGAAGCCAAGGCAGGGTGTGATTTCAGGTGACATCGCAGACTCAGCCTGACCCCCCAGGGAGCACTGGCGCATAAACGATGTTCATCCCGCTGGAGTTGGCACCTCCTGGACGTAAAGGGTGTGGGCGTTCATACCCTACCGCAGTGACGGATGGATGCCCAGGAAGAGGGGTGGCCATCATCCGTAGACACTTCTCCTGTCCTGATCAGGGGTTAACTCTCGGGCCCAAGAGCAAACCTCAAAGGTCCCAGAGGTGAAACACTAGTAGCAAAGCATGCAGGTGCAAAGCCTGGGCACACAGAGCTGGTAAGAGTGACCCGAGGGTTCCTGTTAGGGTGCCAGCAAGGCCCGTTACAGATGGGGGTACATGCTGTCTAGTTGCCAAAGTCCAGTACTTGTCCTTGGCCAGCTGCAGCTCCAAGGTGCCTATAACTAGAGGGGCTTGGTCACAGCACTGGGGTTGGAAGTGGAGAGCCGGGGCCAGGGGCCCTGACTTGACGCTGTGCCTACCGAGTCCTGTCGACAAGACGAAAAAACATCAGGTGCTCATGTCTGAGAGTGGAAAATGTAATGGTGCTGATGGGAGTCGGTATTAAAGTCTTCTCTTCCCAGGACCCACCTTTGTCTTCACCACCGTATTTGGTGCTTCGTTGATTTGACCTGGCCCCTAGAGGCATTTCAGTTTGGTGACCACATAGCTTGTGTAATGGAAGGTTAATGGGATCATGCAATGTCAAGTCTAAAAAGACTTAGAGTTTTGGATCCATCCCTTAGCTTTGCAGATTGTGCAAGGAGGCTGCAAGAAGTTGAGACCTTCCTAAGGTCTCCGAGCTGATCGCAGGAAAGACTGTCTCCCACAAGGGGTCGCCCGGTCTGGAGAGCGGCTCCATCCAGCGCCTCCACATGTGGTTCGCAGGCCGACTCCATCGGGAGACTGAGGCGGATGAGCTCATTACACGGCAGAGCGCAGTGTAAACGTTGAAGTGTGGTTATAACCTCGAGAAATATCTTGTCCAGTTGAAACTGAAGAGTTTTGAGTGGCAGCAGCCACAGGTCATTACACAGCAAGTGGAGGGCGTTAAACCTCACTCTCTTGATGACGCCTTTCTAACGTCTCCTAAATGTGTTCTGTATCCTTAACGTTTCCCGCAAACTCATCTGTAAAGGTCTCACCTGATTTTAGTCCACTGGAGCTGATGACTGAGGCAGCTTCGAAATTGGCTTATATGTCACATTTTAAAGCTGTAAGTGATCCCACAGTTGTAGCCTACTGAACTATTCCAAGCATTAGTTTGTTGAGGATACGTCCCTAGAAATGCGGAAATGCCAATTCAGTGAGATAATGCCCCAAATAATACTTAGCACTGTGCTTGGCATAAAAAAGCAGCCAATAAAAATTTTTAGGCAACAGCAAAAAAGAAAGGACTATGGACTTCTGATTTAGGTTGGAGGAGTATCTTGAGATGTTGCATATTTTAAGATTTTTTTTACTGTCTATGTGGAGAGGAGGGAAGTCACCTCAGCTGCGGATTGAGACAGTTCTCAGGAGGAGATCCAGGGCGGTCAGGCTGGCTTGTGGACATCCTTAGAATCTGAGCCCAGGACAAAGGAGACTGGTGATGATCTAGAAGACAAAT